ATGGTGGGGATTTAAGCTTCAATGAGATGGGGCGGGTGGGGGGCATCTAATCTACAGCAACCTGGTAAGGCCTGGTCTAAAACCAAGCAATCCAACACGGGGGTGAGTAGTTAGGAAAAAGTGGAAAGAACTGGAAGAGCGAAGACTTTGTGGCTTAAAGGTGCCTGGAATACCCTCAGGTTGGGTTCAGCCAGACTGATTCTAAGAGGGTAACCCCAGAAGGGGAAGGGAGGAGAGGGGGCTGGGGAAGAGGCTAGAGGGCAGATGCATAAGAAAGGGGTCCAGGCAAGGCAGTTCCAAGGCCTGGAACTAGGTAGGGGCTCAGGGCAGGTCTGCTGCTAAGATGTGAGCCAAAGACAGCGTGCCAGGTGGGGAGTCCGGAAGCCCGAGTTCTGAGGCTACAACTTTCACGCCTTACCTCCCTATCCCTACAAGGAGTGGCTGTACTTCTCCAAGCTTCTGTTTTCTCATTAGTAAAAGATAACCGTCTCTTCACAGTACCCTGTGGGCCTGTGTCTGCAGGCTTTGGAAATGTTTTTATATAATGATAACCAAAAAAAATACTAAGAAAAACCTATTCTGAGTCACCTTATAAACAGTACTGACACATACTTTCAGTTCCTGCAACTTTAGCTCCAGCAATTGTATTTTGTTAACAACTTACTTGACAATAGGCTACACACTTTCATTGTCGTGGCCTAATAAAGGAAAGAACAGAAACATACTTAGCAGGTAAAGGATGTGTAAGAACCAAATGAAGGCCACTCACGTCATACAGAAGGTTCGGAGCTCTTCAGACGGGGAACTTTTGGCTGGCAAATCAAGTCACCACTTGGAACAGAGTAAAGGGGAAATCAAAAGTATCTCTCCCAGGAGCAAAGACATAGTTTCAGCAAAATACGACCTTGTAATTAATATTTTAACTGGAATTTTATTGATTTTAGTTTTGTCTATATTTAATCTGTCAACTACTTTTGGTTTTACCTATTTTATGGGGTACAGGCAAGTGGAACGTATACCAGTTTTGTGTTTGTAGTCATGTAAGATACTAAAATAATTTAAGTCCCACTTTGGACTATTCTTTCCTTTAAGAAGACCGTGTACGTTGTTCAAGTTTAAGAAACACTGCACTTGAGGATCTCCCCAAGGTCCCTTCTTCAAGCTCTGAAGTTCTTCCTAGAGCTCTGGTTTAAACACTTATGTCACGTTCGCAAATCTCATCAGTCCTTTGCATCATGCCCTGCTACACTTGGGACAAAGTCCCAGCTCCTTGATGTGCCCTTCACTGCCCTTTAAGATCTGTCCCAGACGACCTCACTCCTCAGGCAGAATATCTCTAGTTTACCACATGTCCCTGCCCTGTGCCCCACCATGGCTGCTGGAGGCCTCTCATGTAACTCCTTGGAGCTTCCAGGTCTCTGCAAAATCACTTTCCAGAGATCGTTCCCGTTCCCCACCAGATAAGGCAGGCCTCTCTTGTACCACCTCCCGCCACATCCTGTACCCTACTTTGCAGGAACATCAGTCTGAAACTATTATCACTGAGATTGTTCAATCATGCCTATCTGATGGCATCAAGGCAAGATCTAGAACTGTCCTGTCCTTTATGGACATACCGTGCCTGGCACACACCTCCCCTCAGCCCACTGAGTGCCAACAGCCACTCAGCCTCTAGCACCCACACCTACAGCTGGCGTCCACACAGCACTGAGAACAGAGGACCAGAAGGAAAGTTTTACCCTGGGATGAGAGAAGCCTCTTTCCAAGTCCAGGACCAGAGCAGGTGCTGAACAAGGCCCCAGGTGAACTCCACAGCTATGTGCTCTATGATTTGGGAAAGGTTACTTAACCTCTCTGAGATTCAGTGTCATCCTCCATAAAATGGGGATAATAGTACCTACCTGTAGCAAGCTGAATAATGCCTCCTGCCATGTCCTCGTTCTAATTCACAGAACCTGTGAATATGCTATATGGCAAAAGGGACTCTGCAGATGATCAAATTGAAGATCCTGCTATGGGGAGATTAGCACGGGTTATGCGGGTGAGCCCGAGCATAATCAGAGTCCTCCTAAGAGGGAGGTAGTAGAATTAGGGAAAGAAGGCAACGGGTCCATAGAAGTACACGTTGGAATGATACACTTTAACAATGGAGCAGGTGCCTCCAGAAGCTGGAAAACGGGTTATGCGGGTGAGCCCGAGCATAATCAGAGTCCTCCTAAGAGGGAGGTAGTAGAATTAGGGAAAGAAGGCAACGGGTCCACAGAAGTACACGTTGGAATGATACACTTTAACAATGGAGCAGGTGCCTCCAGAAGCTGGAAAAGGAGGGAAATAAATTCCCCCTACAGCCTCCCAAAGGGTCGTGGCCCTGCAGACACACCCTGACTTTAGGGCTTATGACCTCCAGAAGTTTAAGATAATAAATTCATGCTGTTTTAAACCACTATGTTTGTGGCAATTTATTAGGCAGTAATAGGAAGCTAACACACAACCCCACAGGTTTTTGGGAGCATTAAACTTGTTGACACATACACACTCAAGAGCGTCTAGCACATAGTACACAAATGTTGGCTGGTGTGATTACTTTTGCTGAGTTCCTCACATGGTTGCCAAAGTGATCTTTTTCTAAAGCACATGCATGTCATCAGAAAACCTTCCAGGGCTCCCCCACAACACACCATGGAAAACCCCCTCAGCAGGGCACGCAGCTTCCAACCTCGCCCCTTTTCACCCAGCAGTGCAGGGAGCCTTCCCACATCCCCCGCCCCATAACCACCACCTACCTCCAATCACACAACAGTACAACCAATCTATGGACTGTTTGACTTCCCCCAATAAAATGTGCATTCCAGGACGCTAGGGGCTCTGTCTTACTGACTTTGGCTGCCTTAGCAAACGGAATAGGTCGTGGCACATGACAGGTCCTCAATACATAGTCATCCCTTGGTATTCTCAGGGGATTGGTTCCAGCACCCCCCAAGGACACCAATATCCACGGATGCTCAAGTCCCTGATATAAAATGGTGAAGTACTTGCATATAACCTACGCATATCCTCCCATATACCTTAAATCATCCTTAGATTACTTACAATACCTAATGCAATGTACATGCTATGTAAATAGTCATTACGCTGTATTGCTTTTTAATCTGTATTGCTTTTTGTCATATGGTTATTTTTCATTTTTATATTTTAAAATATTTTCGATCCACAGTTGGTTGAACCCGCAGATACAGGGTCACCTGTGATTGTCGCCTGCAGTTGAACAAGTCATGAAGCAGCAGGCTGACCACACTTGGCGTGCACTCTCCTCAGATGCTTGGAGACTGAACTACTCCCTACCCCCTCAGACATCACCTAGAGCACCCTTGGTCTGACAGCCTCACTCTTCTGCTAAAGCCCTCCAAAGGCTCCCTGTGGCCTCTAGGCCAAGCCTCAAGGCCTCCTGGATTTTCCCGCACCTCCATCCCCAATCTAATAACTCTGAAATTCCCTGCTCCTGGAAAGTCAGGATTCCCACTTCTGGATGCTTCTGTATCCTGTGCCTCTGCCTGAAATACCCTTGCTCACCTCCTTCACCAGGATAACACCTGTGCATCCTTCAGGTCTCTGCTGAAAGCTCCCAGAGGTTAGGAATTGGGATCTGTCTCCTACAGTATCCCTGGGACCTAGCAGTACAAGGCACCTGCTGCATAAACAGAAAACTGTCTCTAGGCCCTGTGCTCCCTGGTGCCTGGCTCACTGCTCTTGAATCCTGGCTTGGCTCCGACCCGGAGGCTCTGCCTAAGTGTTCTAGGCCTTGAGCCCTGCCCATCTCCTGATCTATACCTCTGCTGGCCTCATGGGAATTAGTCATGACTTGATCTATGGTCCCTCCCACCCACCTGGACCCTAGCTCCCATGCCATCAACCCCTTACTCCAGCTGTCCCAAATCAAGACCTGGCACTTCTGCCAGTGGAAATGGGAAAAAGCACCATTGTGAACCACTGTTAAACAAGGGGACAGGAGTAATAGGGTTACTTGTTCGAACATACATAGTGATGGCACCACTACGTTCCCCTTCACTTGAACTTTGTCAAAATGTGTATGGAATTGTAATCAACTTTTGATATTTCTTAATAAAGCCATTGCAAAAAGCAGGAGGGAGGGGGTGGGGTTTCCCTTCCAGAACAGTCAGCTTCCTACTGGCTAACCAGTGTTCTCCAAACTATGGTTCTAACTCACATACTATCAGTAGATGATAAAATAAATTTAGTGTTTCACATTGTGCAATTTTAAAAAATAAAGTCAATATGCCAAAATACAATGGACATTTTCAGAAAATTTTTGTTTCAACCGGTACATATGTATCGGTGCTCTGTGTCACAATGGAAACTGTATTTCTTCCTATGGGCGTAGGTCAAACGTTCTGAAGAATGCTGAGCTAGGCCAACCCTTCTTTTCTGATCATTTTTTTTCTTATATCAAAGAATTATCTACGTTAGTTTTACCCTGTAAGTTGCTCTTTGGTTTACTTATAGTCACTGGAACTTTGGGATTCTGAGAGAGGTAAACCAGAAAGAACCAGCTGGCCAGGGCCAGAGGCCTCTCCCCACAGCTACACAAAGATGGGGTCAGCTCGAGAAGTAGGAGAGTGCCTTGGGGAAGTCTTAAGGCTCCATATCCCTGGCCAGGTCCCGGGTTCCTCATCCACTTCTAAACCGAGTGTGCCAAGCTCGAGGTCCCTGGGTATTAGCCACTTCTGTGCGGCTCCAAGGGGCCTGGCATACAAAGCGCACGGCCAGGCCCTGCAGAAGGGGACAGGACTGTCCTGAGAGCCCCATGCAACGCCAGCTCTCCCTTGATGAAGTGGCTGCAGGTGCCCTGGGCTGGAGAGGCGGGATCCTGGGGAGGGACCGGGGTAGGCGCAGGAAGCGGGGGCGACACTGGCACTCGACTCTGGCGGACCCCTCCGGAGAGGAACCAACATCGGCGCCCTCGCGCACCCTGGCGCGCTTACCCGAAAATCGTGGGCGGTGTCCTTCACTGGCTGCACGCGGTGGCCCTGGTGCCGGGGCTCGGCCTGGCACGAGCAGCACAGCAGGTCCTTGTCCTCCAGGCAGAAGAGGCTCAGCTGGCCACGGTGTAGACGGCACAGGCGCGGCGAGCGCTGGCTGGTCCAGCGCGCGCCCTCGGCCTCCTCGCGCAGCAGCTTCTCCACCAGGTTGTTGAGCGTGTGGTTGGTGCGCAGGTCCGCGGGCGACGCGCGGTCCTTGCACACCGGGCAGGTGGGCGTCGCCTGTACCTCCCAGCAGCGGCTCACGCAGCCGCGGCAGAAGTTGTGGCCGCAGCACAGAGTCACGGCGTCGTGGAAGGGGTCGTAGCAAACGGCGCACAACAGCTCCTCCTTGAAGGAGCGGGAAGGCCCGGGCGACGCGCACGGGCTCAGCTCCATGGCACGGGCTGCCAGCTCCAGCGCAAGATACCCGCGCCCCGGCCCCGCCCACCCGCCTGGCCGCTCGAGACTCCCGGCCCCGCCCCCCCTCGCGGCGCTGAGCGACGACGGCGCTGGCCAATCGCGCGGGGCGCGCCCGGCCGGCTCCGCCCCACTTCCGGAGGAGCGGGGTGGGCCCTGTGCCCGCGGTCTGCGCTTGCGTGGGTCACGACGCGTCCCGGGTGCAGCGCGGAAAATCTTCCGGCTGCGCTGCAAGGCTCACGTGTCCCCGGAATCTACTTCCGACTTGAAATGGAACCTCTCTTCAACCAGTCCCTGCAAATCCCAGGCCCGTGAGGTGGGAGAAGCCAGATCCCAACCTCCTGGTTCCGAAGTAGTGGCTAGACCCTAAAGCCCCGTAATGGTGTCACCGCGTAGGGTCTGTGGGGCCTTCTCAAGGGCTGCCCCCACTCCCACGTTAGTCGTTATTGGCCATGACCGGTCTTATCCGGCCCCCTCAGTAAGAGGGAGAGAAGGGTTCAGAAGAGACACGATTCTTGTCCCGTGGTGGATAAGTGGACAAGTCACAATCCTTAAAATTTCCCCGAGTGAAATGGCTGTACTCTCTCTCGTCTCCGCGAAATGTGAGGATGAAAGTGAAGCAAATATGGAAAGTGCTCATGATGTTAGGCAGGTCCCCACTGAAACAGAGGGACAGGGACTGTTCGGGGGACCTGTGCGCACTGGGGTCCATGCTCACCTGTGGCCTGGGGAGCCCCTGAATCCCTCCAACTCCCCATTCCCACCTCTCGGTCACTGTGCGGCCTTCACGTGGAGGACACTTTTCACCTGGCGTCTGTGGGGAGGTGGTTCTGCACCTGCCCCGTGTTCCTGCATGTCTCAGAGCAGAGGCACCCAGAGCCTCTAACCAACTTTCTTTTCACGGATGTTTCTGTGGTGAACAGCATTGAACAACAGAAATAATGTCTCCCTAAGGCAAAGGTCTGGCAGACTCACTCCCCATTATAAAAGATTAGGGTTTCCTAAACTCGAATAACACAGCAACCTACGTGGCCTTCATCACAGAGGCTTGTGGGAACTGGGGGCTCAGGAAATGGCCCGTTGATAATACCGTGACTACTGCAGTTGCTGTTAATTATAAACTATCCTTTGTCTTTGACCCAGGAGTCTCGTGTCTTCCACCAACGTGTATGAAAGTGTGGCAGGCTATCTTGTTAATTTGCAAGTAAGGTAAAATCTCAGATTCTTTTTTTGACCATTTTCTTCTAAACTTTTCCTCAGAATATTTCTTTTTCAGCAATGCCAAGGGGATGGATACCACTAATTTTTATTGCCTTCGGTGTTTCTTACGCTGGTCCACGGCCCTCCTGGGGAGCTTTCTAAAAGCACAGATTCCTGGGCCCACTTCAGTCTACTCGTTTCTTGGGGGAGGGACCTAGGAATCTGTATTTTCACCCGATCACAGGTGATTGTCAGGCACACTAAAGTTTGAGAGCCATATTCTTGATCTCCTCGCCCAGCAAGTTGTCAGGGCCCTAGCTATGATTACTGATTGGAAAATTAACCTTAGAGGCAATATCCAAAAAGGCCACAAGATGGGGTAACGCTACACTCCAGGCACCTCCCTGGAGAGTCTTATCTCCTGTATCTTTCTTTGTGTTTGTTCTCTTATCTATGCGTTCCAGTTGCTCTGTTAACCTACTCTCTGAATAGCTATCTTTGTGTTTCATTCTGTTCTTTTATGATTTTCCTTAATTTTTTTCCCCTCAGACTCCAAATGGGGCTACAAATCAAAACAAGCATGAGGAGTAGAAATTATCATATCTATCTTTTCAACTACAATACAAAGGTTAATGTATTAGTCCATTTTGTGTTGCTATAACAGAATACCTGAGACTGGGCAATTTATAAAGAAAAGAGGTTTATTTGGCTCACAATTCTGGGATAGCTGCATCTGGTCAGGCTGCTTCTTCTCATGGTAGAAAGCAGCAGGCAGCGGTGGGTGCAAGCACATCACGTGGAGAGAGGAAGCGAGAGAGAGGGAGGGGCCAGGGTCTTTTAAACAACCACCTCTCACAGGAACTGATAAAGTGAAATCTCACTCACTACCCCCACCCAGGGAGGATATTAATCCATGCATGAGGGATCTGCCCCTGTGACTCAAACTGCTCCCAACACTGCCACATTGGGATCAGATTTCCACATGAGTTTTGGAGGGACAACACATCCAAACTCTTATCAGTTAACATTAAACCAATGTGGTTCTTCAGTTTTTCTGGAAGTCTGGGAAGGACTTGATTCTATTTCAAGCTCTGCCACCAGCCAGTGGGATGACCTGGGGCATATTATTTTACTTCCTTTCCCTCAACTATAAAAGGAAAGATGGAACTAATTGCTACAAGCTCTTACCAGCTCAGACACTCCAAAGTTGTTTTATTCCTTGCATAATTTCTGGAAACACGGTGATTAAGACTTACTCAGAGACAAGGAAAGAGAAATCTTGGCGATTTTAATCAATCTGTCACCAACTTCTGTTTATTCTTTCAGTTAAAAGGACCTTATTCAGCAGTCTTTATAAGGACTTTTTTCAGAAGTCCTTATTGAAGTTCAGGCTGTCTGTATACTAGCTAAATTACAGTACTGCAAAAGCCTAAGGTGAAAGTTCTTACTTCCTCTAACTTCCCCCATCTCATACCCCAAACGTCCTTGCCAGGCACTGCTGATTTCTAAACCCCTTGTTATCACCATGTAAACTTGTGTAAGGAACGATAACTTTCTTAAGTGTTGTGTTAGGAAAAAATTCCTAGGTGCAGAGAGAAGAGGGGGGAACGGCCTTTGTTTTTTTCCTTTTGAAGCAGTGAACTAGAAAGTAGCTGCTGCAAATAAAAGGCAGAGATTGTTAGATTGGATAAAAAAAAAAGCAAGACCCAACTACATGGTGCCCACAAGGAATCTACTTTAAATATAAGCATACAAATAAATTATATGTAAAAGGATGGAAAAAAGATACACCATGCTAATACTAATCAAAAGAAAGCTGGTGTGGCTGTGTTAATGTTGTCCTAAAAAGAAACTAAGACCAAATAAATACAGCAAGGATTTATCAAGCCAATATGACAATTGCAAGTGGGGAGACACATAGGCAGGTCAACCTGAGAAATGCATTCCAAAGAGGGCCAGCAGAGCATAGTATTATATAATCACAATAAAGGGGAAGGATTAAAGAAGAAAAAGACAGCCCTGCCTAAATTACTTCATCAGGTTTTCTACTGGTTGTACATAACATGTGGATTTGGGATTATTACTAAGTTACATAAAGGTTACAAGAAGCATTCTAGGTTATTTTATGCCTTTCTGGTGCCATTATGTCTGCTTGTAAGTACAAATGGTCTTATGATAACGTTTTCCAGGACAGGTTGACGTGATTACTGACTTATTCCAGATCTCCCAAGGCACTATGATTTAGCTGACCCGATCAGAACAGGGTTTTTGTTTTTTTGGGGGGGGTGGAGGGTATCATTCATATCAGACAAAGCAGATTTCAGATCAAGAAACATTAAGGAGAACAGCTGCTGAATAGGACAGTTGCAGGCTGGCAGTAGCATGTTCAGAGACAGGCATCAGAGCTGCAGATGGAATTGGGCTTGTTCATAAGAGTTACCAAGGAAATCACTGTAGTCTGATCCTTGGTGTGAAACACAGTGACCGCCTGGACCTTCCCTGAGTCCTAAACCACGGAAACAAGAAGCCTGGGGCTCTTAGTTGGTCCAACTAGTACAAGGAGAATTTCCATGAGAACTAGGGCTTAAGGCAAGTGACAGGGGAAACAGTATAGTAAACTGCCTGCCTCTGGGTCAGATTCGGCTGCAGACATTTTTTATTTGATCGATATTCTTTCCCCCCGACCCTGTATCATTTCTGATCTTTTAAGCTATAAATATATAAAATGCAACTCAAAATGATTTAAGCAATAAGGGGTTGAATTATCTCACATAACAAGAAGTCTAGAGGCAAAGTTTCAGGGCCAGTGATGTAGGTGGCCCCAGACTCTGATTGGCCTGTGACTTCCTTTTGGTTGGAAGATGACCGTAGCAGCTCTGAGCATTTTACCCTGATTTGAGCCAACATCTAGAAACGGAATAGGGCCATTTCTCCCTCATACGTCTCCTTTTTAGAGCTAAGAAAACGTTCCTAAAATCCTCCAGAAGACTTCCCCTCAGAGCTGGGTCACATGTCCACCTCTAAATTCATCATGGCAAGGGGAATGAGACCACTACAGCCGACTTGAACCAATCAGGATTTACCTGAGTTACATGGCAGAGGGTGGTAAAATACACATCGCATTAACGTTACCATCTTAAGCATGTTTAAGTGTACAGTTCAGTAGTATTAAGTGTATTACCATTGCTGGGAATTAATATACTTACTTGGTTCTGGAGAACCAATCTCCAGAACTTTTCATCTTGCAAAACTTTTAATCTACACCCATTAAACAACTCCTAATGTTCTCCTCCTCCCAGCCCCTGGCAACCACCATTCTATTTTCTGTCTCTAGGAATGTGACTACTCTAGGTACCTCATGAAAGAGGAATCATATAGTATTTATCCTTTCGTAACTGGCTTATTCACTTAACACATCAGCAAGCTCCTCCATGTTGTAGCATGTGTCAGCATTTCCTTCCTTTTAAGGCTGAGTGCTATTCTATTTCATTGATATGCCACATTTTGTTTATCCAGCCACCCATCGATGGATACTCGGTTGCTCCCATCTCCTACTGTGAGTAATGCTGCTGTGAACACAGGTGTACAAACGCCTCTTCGAGACCCTGCCTTCAATTCTTTTGGGTATATGCCCAGAAGTAGAATTACTGGATCATATCGTAATTCAATTTTTACTTTTTTGAGGAACTACTGTACTGTTTTCTATGGAGGCAGCACCATTTTGCACCCCAACCAACAGTGCATAAGGGTTCAGATTTCTCCACATCCCCGCCAACACTCATTTC